TCTTATTATTCTATTTTCACTTTTCTAACAAATAAATAAAGACTGATGAAGTTGTATTACTTAGGTATAGTCATTTTATTAATGATGTCAAATTTGGGCCAACTCCGCAATTTAAAAGACTCTAAAATGTAGAGTCTAAATGGAGCACCCTATAATTAGGACTATTCTAAAAGGATCCTTTGGCTTATCTGTGGAGGTGGATATCATAAAATAATCATGGACTTTTTCTCATCAGCTTTCATGGTGTTTGTGTGTTTAATATGTAGTTCAAAATAATCCTTCATTCAACATGGCCCATGAGAAGCCAAAAAGTGGAGTACCATTCCCTAGATCTCGATGTCAGTTATGCTCTATAGGTTTCCTATAGTCATCTTAATGCCTCTGCTTCAAGACATAAATGAGCGTATCAGGCCAAGAGAAAATAACTATACTGCACTTTTCCTTCCAGGTTTTACATTCTCCCACTCTTATGCAAGGTTTGACCCTTGAGGGCTTGATATGCATATATGATTGTGTTTTTCTCTTTAAGGCTGACATTGGGATGCTGTGTCAAACAGTACTGAAGACCACAGTAACAGCCGCTTGGCCCCAGTGCTTTGATTAGCTAGACACCAACTGTAGCAAGAACTTCTCCGCATGACTGAAAGCAGCAGCAACATATGGGTGTCAGCACAAATGTTCAGAGGACAATTTAACAGGGATGTTAGACTCCTCACTGGGACCCAAGTCTCTCCTAGCCACAGGGTCTTGCCCTGTTTTACAAGAGGAAGAATGGAGTGCCTCCTGTGAAGTGGACTTAAATCCTATTGGAAAACTTGGTTGTACCGTCAAGAGTTGTATCACTACCGTGATGGGCCCATCTTGCCTGGCATGGTGATAGCCTAACAGGTATTCCATAGCTGAGCAAGACTGTTGGTGACAATTCAGCAGCTTATATATCCTCTTTCAGCATTGGGAATGCCAGCCAGATAGAAGTTCAGCACCCCCTGATTTCTCCACATCCTGTATCTAAAGCACATTGGTTCATTGGTGATAGAGGCTTTTAAGAGAAATTGTTTCTCTAGGCAAAGACTAAGAACATAACCAAAGAATTGCAGCAATAAAATAGACACAGGATTCTCTCTAGACCAGCCAACCCAACATACAAACCATTAAAAACAGCAATACTAAATATTAAATATAGCTAATCCAGTGACTAAATTTCTTTTTTAAATGTATTTTGATTTCATGTGTACTGGCATTTTGCCTGCATTTATGTCTGTGTGAGGGTGTTGGGTCCCCTGGAACTGGAGTTACAGACAGTTGTGAGCTGACATGTGGGTGCTGGGAACTGAACCGGGGATCCTCTGGAAAAGCAGCCAGTCAGTGCTCTTAAGCACTGGGTCATCTCTCCACCCCCTAAACTCATTTTCTAATTTTAATTAAGTGTAAAAATGGATACCTCACTTGATGAAGTTTTAAGTATGTTCCAAGGTGTTTGACTATATAAATACATTCTCTACAGTGTAGTTTATAAACTCCAAGTATAGGTTCTATCTTTAAAAAAGCATAGAATCTGAATTGGCATGTTATACATATAAATTACACACCAGATTTTGGAGACTTAATATTAACAAATATTTGGTACATTGTTAGACTCTAAAAATTTGGTTAAGTGATTGAAGTCGATTTAAATAGATGTTTTGGAGGAATGATGAGAAAATTTAAACTTTGTGCATGGTTTGTTTTGCATTCCTATTGGACAAGCTTCTCTAGATCAGTGCAACAACCTATGTGTATTTCCAGGAAGACTAAACGTCCACTAAGGGTCCTAAGTCCAGGAGGGTAAGAACCAAACTCCTAGAAGGAACTAAGAAGGTCCTTTTTAGGCTCTAGAGACTGCTTCCCCAGGAAAATAACTGGCATTGTGCCAGATCACTGCCTGTCTAAGATTCCTTCACAGCTCTGTTTCAGATGTTCATTCGTGGTCATCTTGGGGCAGGCTTTTACATGATGGTCCCAGAAACCTCACTGTCCTGACAAGGGCTACCATTGCTGAGGAATGTTGCAAATTGAGAACTACAGCAGCAGAATGATTCCTTTTCTGCACCCAGTCTCTTTGCCAGAAAGGTAGATAGGTAGGTGTGTGTGTGTGTGTGTGTGTGTGTGTGTGTGTGTGTGTGTGTGTGGTGGAACTTATGCACCTGTAACTAAAATCTGGAAGTCACTACAGTGACTGGAAAAGGGATCTGAGGGCTGGAGAGATGGCTCAGTAGGTAAACTGCTTACCATACAAGCATGAGGACCTGCACTCAAACCTCAGCACTCCATCAAAGCCAGTAATAAAGTACTGAGCATCAGAGACAGGAGCACCCCTGGGCCTTGCTGGCTAGCCAATCTAGCCAAAGCAGGAAGCAAGGAACAATTGAGGAAGACACACAGCACTGACCTTTGGCCCCATGGGACCATGCACACATGTGTGAATGCACACTGACACACACCAAGTGTTAGGAATGCTACAAACAAGGAATAAGGAAATAGAATGGTTTAGTTTTAAACCTTTTAAATCACTTCACAAGTTGTCAAAGTATTCACATGTGCAAGAGAAGTTTGCAATGTGTTAGCCACTCACCACACTGAGAACAGTATCTCCGTGAACAAATGACAACACAGGCCACAGTGGTTTCATGGGTCTGCATCTAGAAATGTCCATTTAAACTACGCACAGGCTGAAGGAGGACAATTCCCCTTCATTGCTCTGTGATGGGTCATTTCTAGTTACTGTCAGAAAGCTAGACATTATAGCTACTTTTTTCCATACAGTCTGTATCAGTGTCCAGATTTACGAGACTGGAAATTCATAACCGAGAAAGGGGATGTCAGCATGGGTAAGAATTAGAAGGGAATCTGGGAGTGCATATCAGGTTTTAAAAACACATTAACAAAAATCAGGTTTGGTCACGAAGGCTGATAAGTTAGAAAATTTCAAATAATAGTAAAGAAATTTAGGTTGATGCTGGTTCTTTTTCTTTTTTTTTTTTTTTTTGAGACAGTCTCAGCATGTAGCTCTGCTGGCCTCAAACTTGAAATCTTCCTGCTTCAGTCTTTTGAATGTTGGGATTGTAAGTGTAGCCGCTATACCTGGCAGATGTCTGAGTTTTTTGTTTTTCTTTTATCTTCTTTTTCTCTGTTTGTTTTGGTTTTGGTTTTTTTGTTTTGTTTGTTTTGTTTTTTTTCTTTTTTTGAGACAGGGTTCCTCTGTGTAGCCCTGGCTATCCTGGAACTCTGCAGACCAAGCCTCAAATCCAAGTGCTGGTATTAAAGGCGTGTGCCACCACTGCCTGGCCAATGTTGATTCTTAAAGAGAAGTTAAAACAAATAAGGGTTCTTCTCAGTTATCCTGAGAGCAGAGCAGTGCAGGTGATACTGCTGCCCTAAAATCAGTCATAATTCTAGGAGTTCTTTGTTGGGATAAAGCTTGAGGGGGGCCTTGTGTGAGGGACCTTGGCAGATTCCATGGCAGGCGAGGGTGACTGAGTCAGAGGGACAAACATTCCCAGCAGACAGAGCTTAGTGAGTTTTATTAGAAAGGGGAGGGAGGGTGTAGTGAGATAGTCCTTTCGGAGGGGGCCAGGAAGGCGCTCTCTTTCTGGCGTGACTCAGACAGGAGAGGATTGGGTTGAATTTCCTGGTGTTCATCTGTCTAGGTTGTAAGTTATTTCTCCCTGAATAAACATCTATTCAGCCTGTTTATCCTGATCCTTATTTACCGCAATAGGAAGGGAAGGAAAGAGAAAAGAGATAAAGAGACACAGAGACAGAGAGAGGACAGAAGACAAGAGGGAGACAGGAAAAGCCCAGTCTGCCCCAGGGGAGCAGTGGGAAAGAGAGAGCGGAAAGAGAGCATAAGTGGGCAGAGGTCTTTTATTTAAAGGGGTCCTTTGCACCTGGGCTGACCAGGGTACTGCCCGAGTGCATTCTGCCAGGTAACAGGGGCAAGCCAGCATAATGCCTGAATCCTTATATGCCTGACACCGGAAATTTTGCACTGGGAGAAACAGTGACAGGACTTTCCTTGCAAAAGAATCGACTGAGTTCTTTTTTAGATGATAATTTTTATTCTTTGTACACTCCATGCAGTAGTACGAGGCACACTGATCATAACCATCTACTCGCCTCCAATTCTCCCTAATGTCCTCCCATCCCACCTCCCTCCTAGCTTCATGTCCTCGTTTCATTTACTTTTTTGCTATTAGTGACCTCCTAAGTCTAACCAGTACTGCCCATATGTACATGGGGATGTAGCATCCATTGGGGCGTGAACAGCTACTACTAGACACGGATGGCGAATGGTTTGCACTACCTCGTCAGCACTGATTGCCAATGCCTCCACCAACAGGGGTAAGCCTCAGAGTTCCCTCCCATCTGTGATGGAATTCTGACGGACTTGATCTTGTATACACTTGATCTTGTATGCTGTGTCGTGTCATGTCTAGAAGATGCTGTTTCATAGCACTCACTCATCCTCCTCTGCAGCTCTTCCGTTCTTAATGCCCTCTCTTCTGTGGCTCTCCCTGAACCCTGGATGGCTGGAGGTTAACAAGATGACTCACCCAGTGCTGGGCCTCCCAGCTATTTACTCTGCACTTTGAGCAAGTCTTTGTACTAACTGCTACCCACTGCCAAAAGAAGTTTCTCTGACCAGTTGCAAACAGCTCAAATTTACTGATTCCCTTTTCAAAATGTATTTTATCCATTCTTTGAGAATTGCATACAATATGCTCCGGTCATCTTCTCTTGCCCCCAATCCTTTCCTTCTCTCCATACTGAGTTTTTAAATCATGGCAAGTATGGAATTCAAATTTGGTAAAAGCCAAGTAGGACTTGTCCTGCCCATGCCGAGCCTGCCTTCTCTTATTACCGAAAGTAAGGGTTCTGGGGAGGAAGCGGCATATCAGACCTGGTGATCTCACAAGGCAGAGGACATTCCTGGGGCTTCAGCCACAAGGAAGGCAACAACCTTTCTCCTCCCTTGCTTTCTTCCTTTTCCTTTTCTCCTCTTTTTTCTTCTTTTCTTTCACTTTCTTCCACCAGTCTTTGCAAACCAAGAAGAATCAATAATGGCAAAGGGCCAGACTACATGAAATCTTGAATAATTTCTTCATGTTACCACTTCATGTTGCCTCAAGAATTCCTGGGCCCAGTGGAGCAGCAGAGTTGAAGATTTAGGGACTTGTGGGAAATTTTCTTAACCTGTTGACTGCAGTCACCACATGGAAATGTTTCTTGAAGTAAAAGGGGGGTAAAGAAAAGAAGAGGCATATCTTTAGATCGAGGTACTTAAGAAATGATGAAAACAAGTCTAGGCACGTGGGCTTACTAAAACCTGGCACTCTACACGTGAACGAGTGGGTCTCTGACTCCTGTGCCTTCTCTTGGGCTCTTTTCCTTCCGTTTGTTTTGTTCAATGCCAATTGATAGTTTTTGTTTTGTCTTATTATATTATATTATTATCCCTTGGAAGCCTGTTGTTTTCTAATGGAGTTTGATATGTAGACTAGGCTGGCCTTGAACTCAGTGATCTGCCTGCCTCTTTCTCTGTCTCTCAGACTGCTGAGATTAAAGTGGTGCACAATCACGCCCAGCCCTGTGGCATCTTTTAATCCAGCTAGCAGCTGGAGAGAGAAGTTTTCCGTTTAAATAATCCTTATATTAGAATTTGTATATTAGTTAAACTTGGCTGTGATTCTTTCAAAAGACAGAAGACAAATGCAGCTCTTACTGAAAGAAAAAACAAAATACCTTCCATTTGCTCTGGGCCATGTATTTCTGCAGCAATAGTTGGGATCTGAGACGAACCTTGGCTCCCAAGGCTTTCGTGGGCAAATGGTTCAACCACTCGTGTTTCAGGCACTGTGTGGCGCTCATCCTGCAGCTGTGGAGTCAAATGCAGTAGAACGTTTGAGTGGCACCAGCCTTTTAGAATCGTCTGTAAGTGTTCTTCTGGGTAGGGAGTCTGAGTTGGTGGGACAGGTTCATGACTCAGGCAGATTCATGCCTTGCCCCCTAGGCACTCACCTCCTCACAGAGCCAGAAAGCTCTATGTTTCCTGACCTCCAGGGAAGCTTATCCCCAGTGACCCACCCCACCTCTCCAGGAGGCTGGGAAGCTAAGGCAGAGTAAGGGAAGACCGATTTGGATTGCTCTTAGAATGTGATGATTGAACAAACAAAACCCATCTCTCCTGGTAGAGTCTTCATCTGAATTACAGGGTTTCCACTGAGAATGTTTCCACAGTAAGAAACTCTGAAGATCAGAGAGCAGTGAGCTTTCCCAAAGCACTGGCTCTTGGGCCTTTCTCCTGGAGGTGCCCTTTTATTGTCGTTGGTTATTTTCGATTGTTCAATGTCTGAGTATCAAAAAACTGAACATCTCCATCTATGACTTTGAGCTGCTGTGCCAGCTCATTTTAAGTCAACTTGACCCAAGCTATGGCTATCTGAGAGAAGGGAACCTCAGTTGAGAAAATGCCTCCTTAAGATCGGGCTGTAGACAGGCCTGTAGAGAGTTTTCTTAGTGAGTGATTGATGGAGGAGGGTCCAGCCCATTGTGGGTGGTGCCATCCCTGGGCCCATGGCCCTGGGTTCTATAAGGAAACAGGTTGAGTAAGCCATAAGGAGCAAGCAAGTAAGCAGCACTCCTCCATGGTCTCCGCGTCAGCTCCTGCCTCCAGGTTCCTGCCCTCACTGCTTTGGATGACTAAGTGTTATATGGAACTGTGAGTGAAATATACCCTTTACTCCCCCAAATTTGCTTTTGGTCATGGTGCAATCACCCTGAGACACTGTAAAGTCTAAAACGGTATTTGTGACCAAGAAGGGAGTACTCAGACCTATATTCTGAAGGATATCTTGTTATGTATCTTGTTATGAAATATCAGTTTAACTATGTAATGATGTGTTGCATTTGTTTACCTTGCCTGCCTAAGGTACCTAATTGGTCTAATAAAAAGCTAAATGGTCAATAGCTAGGCAGGAGGTATAGGTGGGATCTCCAGGCAGAGAGTAAGTAGGAGGAGGAATCTAAATTTGAGGGAGACAGAGGAAAAAAGAGAGAGACACCAGAGAGATGCTAGGGGCCAGCTAGCTAGACAAGTAGGAATCAGGATAGAGCTAGTGGGACAAGCCTAAGCTAAGGCCAAGAATTCATAATTAATAATGTCATTATTTGGGAGTAGGCCAATGGGTCAGAGAAAGAGCTGGGCTACAGTATCTCAACTTTTGTTCAGCATTAACTCCTTATAAGTGATAAGTTGAGAGTAAGACTCACTTGTAATATATACCACTTTCTATGACTCTGTCTTGCATGCTTGTTATTAGAGTGATTCTAATTGTCCTGTTGCTGCCCCTTTTAATGTTCCACACAAGTAACAGACTAAGAAATCCCCCAGGAAGAAAGGATTCAGCATTCCGGCTCAGCACACAGATCAGAGTCCACTGAGTGTCCAGCCACAACAAATACCTCTTCTCTTTGACCAGCAACCGGGCAACAAAGTCCTTGGCTTCCTCTGACAGCCCTTTGAAGGTGTCAGCATCGAAATCCCAGCTACAGTTCACAATAAAGTTCATGGTCTCTGCATCTGTTTCCCCTAGAAATGGGGACAAACCACTGAGTCTGTGGAGGAGAGAAAGGACCATGAGTGTGTGTGTCACAAGCGCTATTTCCATTACTTCTCCATGCACATGGTCCCACACGTTCTCATGAAGGAGGTGGATGGGGGAACATCTATCAAGTTAAACCCTTTCCTTGTCTCTAGAGCAACTGTAAACTGGAGTCTAACACAATGTGTCCACTTATCAAGTGTGTGTTTATTTATTGTTGTTGCTGCTTTTGTTTTTTGAAACTGTGTCTTTCTAGTTAACTCTGGCTGTCCTGTAACTCATTATATAGACCAGGCTGTCCTTGAACTCACAGGGGTCCCCTACCTGAGTATGCCTCCTGAGTATGAGGGTTAAAGGTATGCACCACCATGCCCTGCTTTTATTTCTCTGGTACAGCCAGGTTCTAATAGCTACTATTGTCCTTTAAGCCAATGAAATATTGGGTTTACTATGCTCAGGCTAAGGCAGGGAGACAAGATAACCTAACTGACTGATTCTTAGGCCTTAAGTTTCCCCAGCCTGGTATAGCAGACACAGAGTACAGCAACAGTACAATACAGTAAGAATAAGATAAGAAGCTAGGAGATCTAGTCAGAGAGAGAAAAGAGGCCGCTCTGTGTCGGAAGTGGCATAGTTAAACAGCACCGTAATGCATCAGCACCTGCATTCCTTCTCTTGATGTCTTTCCAATTGAAGCTTCTTTTCACCACCCAGAAATATCGGGAAATTAACCCAGGCCCCGCACTTGAGAACAACCCACAAATAAGAACTAGCTGTGGTTGTAAACACGCAACTCTTTCACCCCTCTGATAAAATAGCTCTGAGGGGTGTCCCGCAATGGATTCCTAGCTTTGCACAACTGCACCCTACTTCTGTGCTATTGACACCTGAGTTACTTTTAGTTGTTAATGTCAGGTCTCAGAGAAACCCTGGAGTAGTCTCACTCAGTACCTGTGGCTCCTCCCAGCACTTCTCACCCGGCCCCCTACCCTAACCCTCTTCCTCCTAGGGGCTGAGCTTCCTTTCTCCCAGCTTCTCTTCCCTATATAACTTGGCCATCTTGACTACAAGCTCTCTCCGCTCTTGGCTTCCTTCTTGCTTTTCTTGGTTCCCATGGACCCTCTTGGTCTCTCGGCTTGCTCTTGACCTCTAGGTGTGCAGCTCCTCTCTTGGTCCACAGGATTGGCATAAGTGAGCTCCCTTCCAAGGGACTCGGCCTCTCTAAACCAAGCTGTTGATCTGACTATCCTGTGGAGTGCATTGATCATTTGTTTCCGCTGGCTTCTGCCACCCACCGTGTTTGACTCCGAATTCTGGAGTCTGCCTCTTAGCTTCTGTCTGCCTGCTCTAACCATTCGCCTTCCTCGGCTACTTGGTAAGTGTTCTCTCTCTGGCCCCTGGAGTACCCACCACATGGGCATCTTTCTACTAAGAAGCTTCCTACACCCTCTGGGGCCCCACCAGCAACATTTACAGGTCTCCCTTTATTGGAACCTTCCTGTTTCCCAAAAGCCTCTCCCAGTCCACAGCTCCAGCTGTTTCCTCCTCTACTGGCTCTAACCACTCTTCTCTCCTCTTCTACTGAGTGGTCACCCTGGAGCTTTGTCTGCTATTACTACAAAGGCCACGCTGGTGTTCCAGGGAGCTCCTCTCACCCTACCCAGCCCCTGTCATGTGGACAGGGAGGGACACCTCTGCTCTATGTTTGGGGCATTTCTCTCTGACAAGTCTCTCGGTCAGCTTGGAGATGCCCTGGATTGAAATTCTTGTCACCTCAACACTTAACCTCCTCTGTTCCCTTTGCTCTCAGCTCTTTCCTGGAGCACCCTTACCTCCCCCTGGAGCCGCAGTCCTGCAGCTCCTCTACACCCTTTCGGCCTCTATGAGTCCTCACTCAGGCAGAGTCCCTGTTCGTGGACCTTGTCCCCCATGGCTATACTGTTCCTCATCTCTCAGCTCCCCTCTTGGAGCTTACTGGAACTTCATTTTCCAACTCTTTTTCCTTTCTGTCTTGCATTCAGAGGTTTTATTAAACCCTCACTGTCTTATTGCAAATAGCTTGGCCTCAGTACAGCTCAATCAATGACCAAAAATTGACACTCAATTTTCAAATTCTCCCAAGTCATAACAGCTTCTGCCACCATTCAAAGGGCCCCAAAATCTCATATATCTAAACTTTGTCTACTCTTTAATCCCCAAAGTCTCTACTTTCTACTCTTCAAAATCTCTTATCTCTACGATGTCTCTGCACTCTGTCCTCAAGAAATATTCTAAGGCTATTACTTTTCATCTCAGACTGTGTTTAAAAAAATCTGTAAAATCTGTAACAAAAAAAAATAGTTTAAAACTCATAACAAAAGGTTTAATATCAATTTGCTATATGTAATTCAAGCCTTATTTAGAAAAATAGATGTGCTTACTGTATATGTAACTTGAATTCAACTCTTGTTTAGGAAAGCAGACGTTTTTAAATAGCAACATGAGACTAGCTTCCATCTTGGCTGATGACCTCATTAGGATGGAAGCAGCCATGTGGCTGGCAGTCATCTTCACTAAGGTTAAAGGCTACATGCCATGTAACTTCACCACCATCTTCATAAGATGACCACGTGGTATAAACCAACTAAAGCAGCAATCCTTAAACTTCTTAGTCCTACTAGTCCCTCTGCTTATCACTGTATCTCCTTTTAGATGAGGGAAGCAACAACAAGTCTCCAAAATATCTTGGATTAGAATGGGATTTTGTATGATGATAAATCCCTATAGTTATAAAGGTCTACTCAGGTTGCTAAGCAGTGGTGCCTTTAATCCCAGCACTCAGGAGGCAGAGGCAGGCAGATTTTTGCCAGCCTGGTCTACAGAGTTAATTCCAGGGCTACACTGAGAAACTCTGTCTTGGAAAAACAAAACAAAACAAAATATCTACTCAGGTTAATAGAAACTGACTTAGAGATGTATGTGTAACAACTACGTATGTTTTTGCTAACTGTTCAACACCTGGCTTCTAGAAAATTTAAATAAAGAATAGTATGCTTGATAAATAAGGTTTATAAATTCCTAAGGTATATTTGGGTTGACAGTAACTGACTTGAAGATATATATCTAGCCTCTTTGTCTTTGCTAATTTAGTTAAACTTTAGCTATTTGGAATAACCGAGGCATACAAGAAACTGTGGTATTCTGTAATCATGCATTTCAAAGGATCAAGAAAATAAGGTCCCTAATCCCTCTGTGGATTGTATTTAAAGTCCCTAGTATCTCCATGAATTTTATTTATGGTCTAAAGTTTTATTTTGATGCTAAAGAATCTTCAACTCAAAATCTTAAGGCTCAAACTTAACAGGGATAAAGCTAAACTCTTAATCTTATGAAAGCTACTAACTTGTAAACTGTTAACAGTCAATCACCTTATAAAAATGATCAAATTCTTTCATGTGCTCAGAAGTAGGCTCATGGTCATGCTAAGTACAAATGTAATTCATTTAGTGGCAAGCTTTATTTAGTGTGCGTGTATGTTCTCAAGGTTAAGCCTAAAGCAAGTAACTAAAAACAAGTAAAGTTTGTTTAGATCGGTATACTTAATAGATAATGGTCCTCAAACTCTTCAGAGATCTACTGAATATGACCTTTAAAGTGTTTAATGAAAAATAGCTTCCCATAATGGAAATGCCAGCTCCGAGCAGTGACCTTAAGGTCTCCAAAGAAGACAATGGGGAACAGAGGACTCCACATGCACTGTGGTAACTCTGACCACTGGGGAAAAAATTGCCCCATGCCTTACCTGCTGCTCAGACCCTGCCCACACTGTGGACACTGTTGGGTTGATTGCCCTGGTCTGCCTTGACACAGCTAGTCACCTTTCTCAGGCTTCTCCTCCACAGGAAAATCTAAGACCTTCTGGATCTGGCAGCTAAAGATTCTGTGCTGTCCTGTATGACAGCCAAAGACCTACAACCACTGCTCCAAATGAAGCCATTGAGACCAAAGGAGGCTGGGGTAACCAGGTAGAGGTAAGTCACTGCCGTTTTAATGGGTACATAGGCCATTTGGATTATACTTCCTGCTGTAATTTATCCCTCTTTGACCTCTGATGATATTGACAGCTAACTGTAGCTTTATATGACCAGCAGCAAGCACCCAGATCCTCCCTCTAAGGCTACTGCTGCCTATTCTGCTCATTTCATATGTAAATCAGGCTTCATTTTTCTAGAGCTACTAGGTCTCCATTGAGAGGCGGACACAGTTTACCTTGCCCACAGACTTCACACTGAAAAAGATAAACTCACAAAAACAGGCTTCAGGATACTTTTTTTTTTTTTTTTTTAACTTTTCCTTGACTGCTCTCAGTAAGCAACCACTTATGTCTCATGGTAAATGATTAAATGGAAAAAGAAAAGGTTTAAAGTTTAGGTATGCTGTGAGTCTAAGAAAGTGAATGCAAGCTGTAGAAGTCCAAGTTATTTAAAAAGAGAGAAATGTTTCAGACTTCTTTCCCTCCCAGTACTTTGTCACACTACAACTTCAAAAGTTTAGAGTTTAGCATTAATCAATGCTATTAATCTAGCCCTGGCAAGCATTGCTACTATTATCATAGTCATACGCTCAAATTTCTAGATTCCTTTTGATTGTCTTCTAAGTACGAACTTAAAAGTGCTTCTCCTTGTGCTAAAAGCATCTCTGTCGTATCTATGTATCCAGCCCTCTGGACAGAGGAAAGAGTATTAATGCTTTAAAGCCAGAATAATTTCTTTGGATCCCTAAGCTTCTACTATGACTCAAAAGTGTGAGTCTATTGTTTTTTCTACAATATAGATCTCAGTACAGATTAGAGACAGTGGGAATGCTAATTAAACTTTTATCTCATTTTTGTAAACTTAAAAAGCTTATGTAAACTTCAGGAACTCAGTTTGGATCTGCCTCTCATAGGTCAAAGGGACTCCAGAGAAGCACTCCTATCAATCAACAGCCTGTTTCCCCACCTACCTGTTCCTGAGGGTAGGATTTCCTCTAACCCCTCTATCCCTCCCCCTCCTTCTCCCCCTCCCCCTTCCTCTTTTCGTCTCCCTTTGTCTCTCCTGGTCTTGGGACTTTCCTGCCCTAACTACCAGGACCATGGACCTGGAAGTTTCAAATGTACACCAAAGATAAGTATTTTCCCCCAAGCTCCCTTCCCTAGTCTGTATCTGTCCTGGCAGATTTACAGTCCACTAAAGAGTACAAACTGCTCCCACACTGCCTGCAAAGCAAGGGCCTCCGGTGTTCCTTCAGAACCTGCACCCAGATTGCTCCAGAGAGGCCTGCAGAACTTGGTCAATGAGTGAAGCAGATGTCCCAAGCCTCTCTCCTTTCCTGTTCTTTCATCATCATTCCAGCCCCTCTAGGCTCCTGACAGCCCCAATTTCATCCCAGAAGCAGTTATCACCAAAAAAGACTGGAATGTTAGGTCTCAAAGAAACCTGAATCAACGGCTAAATGAAGGCTAAAAGAATTGCCTATTTAACATATCTGAGTGGACTCTGGCCAGCTTTCCCAGCATCCCTCAGTACTTGTGGCTCCTCCCTGTTCTCCCAGCATCTTTCAGTGCCTGTGGCTCCACCCACTTCTCACCCAACCCCCTACACTAACCCTCTCCCTCCCAGGGTCTGGGCTTCCCTTTCCCCAGCCTCTCTTTCCTATATAAACTCAGCCATTTGGCTAAGCACTCTCTTGGCTCCTGGCGCCTCTCTTGGCCTCTTGGTCCCCTTGTCCCCCACTTCTTCTCGTCCTCTCTCACTCTTCATGCATTCCCATGACCCAGTTCAGTCTGGACTCTTGGATGTTCTCTCCCTCAAATCTGCACTCATACCCCTTCTCGTCAACCATACTTAGCAACAGTCACGTTCTGATTTTCATTCAGTATCTGGAAGTTAAGATCCATTTGTAACACACCCTTAGCTGACTGCCTTTCTTCAATCTCACCACCCTGCTCCTCTATGAATGTTCCTGAGAACTCTTCCCACGTTGTGTTTTCCTGCCAGCAAGATAGATGGCCGAAGCCCCGCCCAGAACGAGGCCCCTCAGTACTCACAGCATGTAGGTGATAACTCCCACACTCCACATGTCTGTCGGGAATGAGACAAACTCATAGTTAACAACTTCTGGGGCCAGGAACTCCGGAGTACCAAAGTTCACCTTTAGCTTCTCCCGAGGCTTGTATCTGAGAAAGAGAGTGCAGTGCACCATGGGAGAGAATATGTGAATACAGATATTGCCTGGACCTGACACTCACACTACAAACAAAGTTCCCCTGTACCCTCATGCCTTCCAGCCTTTTTAAGTTAGTGATAAACCAGAAAACTACACTCCTTCTAACCACTCACAATCTGAAGATGAGGAGACCAATATATCTTACTTGGCATGCAACCACATGAATGAGTACAGACAAATGGAGCAGAGCTTCGGGACAGTGACCGCTTAGTTGGTGTACACAATGTGCTGGAAGGGTCACAGTAGAGAAAAGAAACAAAGCTCATCAACCATCATTAGGGAAATACAAATTAAAAGCACAACGCGGTTCCATATGCACTTAGATAAATGTGTGAGGGGGGTGGGAGAGACTATGTAGAGCAGGTGCGGACTAGAATGTAGAGAATTCAGAACCTTTGTGGAATGTAAGTGAGGAACTGAAGTGGAGCAGACACTGTTGAAAACAGAAGAGTGGGCAGGGTGTGGTGTCTTAAAGTGGAATTCTAATACCCAGGAGGCAAACACTGCAGGATTGAGGCAAGGATGTGTTACACAATGAGCTTGAGCAAGCTTGGATGACAGACTCTGTCTCAATGAGGCGAAATCCAGAGGGGTGGCCAATCAAAAAATTAAAAACAGAATTATGTGATCTAGCAATTTTTGAGCATGAATTCAAAAGAATTAAAAGAGGAGCTCCAGGAGACAGTTGGGACTTTCCTGAGTCCCATTTCCACCCACTGTGTCCTGAGATATCATATTCCTTCCACTAGAAGTGGAAATGCCTTGCTCCATTCCACAGATGCTGGGGCTGGTCACAGGAGTAGCTTTCGTCAATGGCATTTGAGTAAAATATTACAATGGGTCAATACCCAGCTAGGCCATAACTGCTCCTGTGTTACCACCACAAGACAAGAAAGAGAGACAAGGCACATCTGACCTCACTGAGGGGCTGGAGAGATGGCTCATGGTCAAGAGACTGACTGCTCTTACAGAAGACCCAGATTCCCAGAACCCATATGGTGGCTCATAACCATTTGTAACTCCAGTTCCAGGGAATCCTTTTTCTGGCCTTGGTAGACACTGTACACATGTGCACAGGCATACATACAGGAAAAAACACCCATAGACAGACAGACAGACAGACAAAAGATAAAGCTAACTAAACTGAGCCAGCTCAATGATCTCAAACAGTGGTCTGTAGGTGTATGTTCAAAATTAGCTGTCCAGACTTTTTAAGACTTTATCTGCAGTAATCGCCAGTTTGGGTGCTATAAATCCTGATCTTCCCATGCTAGTGTCAAGGGGCCATAATGAAGTTACTGAGTGGTAAGAATCAGTGGTCTACCAAATAACATTCAAGCTTTCGAGCCCAGTATTCAGGATTCTTCCATAATGCTCTTATGCTCTACTGTGTACTCCTTAGCTTAGCCTGCTCATGCTCACACCTGTTCTCGGGTCATGACTAATACTGTCTCCCCTGACTTCCCTCTGCAGCTCCTGTTCACACTGGCTCTGGCTCTCAGGAGAGCACCAAAACTAATGGTTTTCACCAATTTGTAAAAACTGGAAAAAGTTACAAATCAACCTGTGTCCCCATGTCCCTTCCCTTCTGAGCTGGCAGCTGACCATTTGCCAGCATGTCACTCCCTGCACATGACAAGTCCTGTTCATGAGAGAAGCCTCCTTCCTGCCACGAGCTTCCTGTGGTGGCTTCTTACTCTGAACTCAGTATATCACTGTAAGTGGTCATATGACAACTGGCATTCAAGTGTATCCTGAAACTCTTATATTGCATGCCAGTAAGGATCCAAAACAAGGGACTTTGGAGGAATAAAAATATTTAGCTATTATGGCTTTGCCAGGGGCTACAGAACAAACACAAATACACAGTGCTTCTATGGCATTGCACTCCATTGAGGGGAGGACAATGTGAGTATGGGAAAAGATCTTAAAAGGCCAGCTGGAGGCAAATGGCAATGATGAGAAATGGGTTGAAAAGCACCACTCTCTTGTATAAGACACACAGTATATGCAAAATAATCCCAACCTGTGAGACAGGTTTTCTACATTATAGTTAGAAGATGATTTTCAACTGTGTGGGAGAGGGGTTTTATTTTGTTCAATGAAGGTTAAGTAACAACATGTGGAGAACTAAAATGTATCTTCCACTCCTATAAATAGGAACACTTCAATGGATGGAGAAGTAACCCCAAAAGACTGCCACTGCCTTCAAGATGTCTTGGCAGAAGACAGAGGATAACTGCAGGTGAGTAGCTCTGCTTCTGTTTGGGAAGGAGAGGAGAGGATACTTAGCATCTCTCAGAAAGCAACAAAGACAGCTCCTGAGAGAAACAGCCAGCAAGACTACAGAAAATCTTGCACAGAGGCACACACAATCATCTTAGCACTCAGGAGGCTGACGATGGAAGATCACAAGTTTGAGGCCTGCCAAGGGCTACATAATAAGACCTTGTCTCAGTAACAAATGGATAAACCAAACTATGTGGACTTAAAGGTCGAGGTCATCCTCACTGCAGAACCATTTCCTGTTGCCTGCAAGATGCACAAACTCTCAGCTACTTCTCCAGCACCATGTCTGCCTAAACCTCTGAAACTGAGCAAGTCACCCCAGTTAAATGTTCTTATACAGGAGTTGCCATGGTCATGGTGTCTCTCCACAGCAATAGAAACCCGAACTAAGACAGCTACTATATTCAGAACTCTCCAGAAACTATGTGATTCTCAAAGAAGAGTAATTCTTGGAGGAAAGAAAGCCAGAGGAGGGAAGCTTGGAGGATGGGATACAACTAGAGAACCAGTTTTATTTGGCATCCTAATTGAGACTAGAGGTTTGGTAGGCAGTCTTCCCAGAATCTACGGATTTGCTGCAGCCCCTTCTGGGAATTCCTGCTGCCAGCTGTGCCTGCTGTGGGCACGAGACTGCCAAGACTGGGAAGCAAAACTGGGCACACTTTAGGCTCTATGGATTTTGAGGGTCTTCAAGATATTCTAAACATTATATACAAGGGGGGACTAGAGAAATGCCCAGGCGGTTAAGAGCACAAGTTCAGTTCTTAGGACCCATACACAGGAAGGAAATATCAACCTCCCAGAAGCTGGCCTCTGACCTCCACACAGGATAGTAGCATCCTGCTCCCACATAATAAATGCAACAAAAATTTCCAATTGCATACAATATTTACTTAATGTACTGAAACGAGGATGTAATGGAGTTTGCAGTAGCATATAAGATCCCATTTAGCCATCATGACTGTGTCCATGTGAGCAAGAATGTCATTGTGTCACACAGTACTAAATTCTAATCTAGTCTTCAGTGGCCCCAGATCCACTTATCATGGCACCACCCTATTCTGTGACATATGTGTTTTCCTATGTAAGCTAGAGAATTCCCAGAGTGCAAGGATGGCCGTAGATGTGTGGCCTAGCGTGGCCCCTAGTCAAATGGAGAACTGACGGCATTTAGTCTACCTTGAACTGTGTTCAGCAGTCCCCTGTAGCTATATTCTTCTTCTCAGACAGGTGATTGGAAGTACAGTTAATCCTGCAATCTTTTAGGACAAGCAGGACCTGTACTACAACCCCACTGCATGAACAAGCCAAAGGCCACCAGTCTCTCTATGAGAACTTTCTTGCATCCATCTCAAAAAAAAAAAAAAAAAAAAAAAAAAAAAAAAAAGGCTATATCTCAGACAGGTAACTACATTCCAGACATTCCAGAGAGCTTTGGTGCCCCTGAAGAAGGAATTTTGTCAAAATACAGGAGCCTTACCTTCTAGCCAGTCCAAAGTCAATGATCTTAATTTGATGTCCTGTCTGGTTGACACACAGTATGTTCTCCGGCTGGAAGACAGAAGGAGTGGAAAGACATTTTATCCTTATTACCCTGGCCGAGGAAGCCTACAGCTCTCACACTTCTTTGTCCATAAACCTCATTTCCCCAGAATCCAAGGGAAGTAAATGACTTAGGGCAGTCATGTGGGGCTAATAACAATAAATGAGCCCCACCAACGAAACAGTTGTTGGCATAGAGGGGTGGAGAGATGGCTCAGTGGTTAAGAGCATGTGCTATTCTTGCAGAGAGTCTGCTCAGTTCCAGAACCTATGTTGGACAGCTCACAACCACCTGTAACACCAGCTCTAGTGCATCTCACATCATCTTGTCTCAAGGGAAAACTTCACTCACATGCACATTCACACACACTCACACGCACACACACACTCACACACACTCACACGCACACGCACACACTCACACACATGCACACACTCACACACACACTCATGCACACTCACACTCACACACTCACACACACACACACACACACAGAATTAAAACAAAACTTTTTTTCCAAAGTGTTGGTATGGACTGTGAGGAAGTAGGAGTTTTGTCCCACGGAAATGCGGACCCTGCTCAGTACCATTCACTTCTCACCAAGAAGGAAGCTGGACACAGCAGAAGAGAAGTTAAAGACCCAGATTTTGGGTGTGAAGATTCCAAGTTTTAAAATGTTGACATTGAAATAAAATGGAAACAAACAGGCATCATGTGAGAACCAAAGCACATGCCTCTGTGGTAGAGATTTGGCCCACAAACTGCTTGTATAAGATTGGTTTGGGGTAATGCTTCTCAACATGGGCTCACATTAGAACCAAAAGACCTATGTTTGTTTTATTTATTTATATTTTTGGAGACAAAGTCCTTATGTGTCCCATGCTGGCCTCCAATTTACTGTTTAGTCAATTTAATGTCTGATCCTCCTGTCTCTACGTGTGAATGCTGGGATTTCAAATGTATGCCATCACACCATTTCATATGGTACCCAAGCTCAAACCCAGGGCCTTGTGCATGCTAGGCAAGTACTTGCCAAGTGAGCCTCATTCCCAGATCCTCATCAGGGAATCTTCTGAATTCCCAGACCTTAGGTCCCTCATCTCAGGACTGAGGCCAAAGCAAGGTTGGCTTGGCCACAGAGCACAGGACTAGCCAGATGTGGTGTGCATGCCTCAATCCTGGCACTGAGAAGGCTAAAACATGGAGTGTTGCCAATTCAAGGCCCTCCTGAACTACATAGTAAGTGCCTCATCTCAGGAAAAGGAGGGAGGGGCTGTGATACAGATCAGTAGTAGAGCTCTCACCTAGCATGTGAAGGTACCATCCCCAGCAGGGAGGTGCAGCATCTGCAAGTTTGCAATGACTGTGACCCATGGGGCTGGGAGTAATGACCTTTACAGATTTTCCTTTTTAGGTCTTTCAGATCAACTCTGAGATACTGAAAGAGTCTAACAATGTTTGCTGAGTTGGGATGACAAGTTGTGGGGAAGGAGATGCTGAGTGAAGATGGAGAACTTACGATAGAAAGGACCTAGAAATCTAGCATCTAACGCCTAGTCCCAAAATCCAATTGCCTGGGTCCTTCCAATTCCTCAACCTCAGTGGCTACATCTTTAAAATGAAAACAAAGACTTTCTCCTTGTCTTCCTGGGAGGGTTTAAGAACCAAGTGATACAATATGTAAGATGTACCGTGATACAATATGTAAGATGTACCATGCAGCTTCTATAGCAAATCCCAGGTATTAATTCTCCCTGCAGAGGCCTTTGTTATAATGAGGCAATGGGGCTGAGCAATTCCTCGGGTGTAATAGAATGCCACGTGGAGCCTCAATGTCTTCTTTATAATGTCCAGAACAACAATAGCCAATAGAAATATAAGGTAAGAGTCATCTACAATTTAAAACATTCCAGTAGCCACATCAAAAGAGGAAAAGAAATATGAAAAAGTTTATATCAGTATTGAAATGTCATAATTATACTATAAAATTCACCATTTTAAAATAAACAATTCGGTGAATTTTAGACTATTCATTGCAGTGATACTTGCTACCAAAATGTAAAACATTTTAAGCACTTTAAAAAAAATGAACAGTCACTACTCATCCTTCCCTTAAAGTATTTTTATTTGGTTGAATTTTTGTTGGTGTTTTGTTGAGACAGAATGTTACTATATAGTCCTTGGCTGGTCTGGAATTCACTATGCAGACTAGGCTGAACTCACATTCGTAGAGACCCATCTGCCTCTGCCCCTGCTTCTGCCTCCCAAGTGTTGAGATTAAAGGTGTGCACAACCATGCCCAGCCCCTTAAAGTGCTTTTAAATGTCATTTTTTAAAAATTTATTTATCTTTATTGTATAAACATTAGTGTTTTGCCTATGTATATGTGTGTGAGGGTGTCAGGGCCCCTAGAGCTGTGGTTATAACAGTTGTGAGCTGCCATGTGGGTGCTGGGAATTGAACTCAGGTCCTCTGGAAAAGTAGTTAGTGCTCTTAACAACTGTGCCATCTCTCTAGCCCTTTTAATTGTCATTTTAATAATATTTTATTTTAACATAGTATATCCCAAATGTTATCATTTTAACCTTGTAAAAATACAACATAAATACATTATTTTCCTTTTTTCACATTAAGTCTAGAGTCGGTATCTGCACAGCACTTCGGGAAGAGAGGCATACCCCAGTACCCCATTTTGTGACTGATAAACTCTAGGGATTTCCCCAGGTCTCACAACCAGAAATGGGCCTCGGTAAATGCTGTTTTCTCTTCTACAGAGCTGTAGGTCCTCGATCCAGACCTCAGGTCAGAGTTCCAAGCTTTGAGGACTCTCTCCCAAAGGCCAGTCCTTGACCCAAAAGAGCAGATCAGAATTCCAAGCTTTCCCTAATTGCTCACCCTGCAGAGGCTCTGGTCGAAAGCCCTGAAATTAGCTCTAGTGACAGCTGAGGCCAGTTCCCCTCCCTGCCCAACATCTTTCTAAGTACTTAGCCTTAGATCTGATGCCTACCAAGAAAGGTGGTTGGCTGGAGTAGGTACAGCACCCTACCTCTCTCATCTTCTGAAAGAGAGTCACGGAAATGCATGCCTTTCCTGAAATGGGTGATGGAGAGACACCCTCTTGTGGGAATAGCATAGTAAATCTCAGAAAGGACCATATGTGCTATGCCTGGGACTGAACATACATGGCAGCCAGGGACTCCCCTAGGAGACAAAGAAAAGTGTAATGTGTTCATGTGTTCAATGAAATATCAGCCAGCTCTTTAAAAACATGGGGAAAAAAAGAAATATACAATTACTGTTTACAAAAAGAAGCAAGCTTAGAAATAAGGCGCAAGCCTACCAAAATGGCTCAGCTGGTTAAGGCTCATGCCACCCAGCCTGATGACTGGCTTTGACCCTGGAAACTACACCATGGAGTACAGAACCAACTCATGAAAGTTGCTGTCTGACTTCTACATGATGCATTGTGGCAATGTGTATCATGGAATATACACACCTGTACACACACACACACACACACACACACACACACACAGGTTTCTGTTCTGTTCATGAAGACTAGTTGGGAAAAACATATTTTGCATACTTTTATATCACCCGTACTTGCTACCACAAGTGTATATCCCCTTTTAAACTGTGTATGTGTGCGTGCACGTGTGTGTGTGTGTGCATGTATGTGTGGTGTATGCATATACGTACATGTTTGTGTGTAGGTGTGCATGATTGTATGTGTAGCCGTCAGAGGTCAACACTGAGTGTCCTCCTCTACTGCTTGTACCTTATTTTTTTGAGCAAGGTATTTCACTGAACCTGGAGCTCAACTACTGGCTGAAACTGCCTGGCCCCAGAATTGTCTGTCCCTAGAGGGATTACAGATGCAAGACACCACAGAATACTTTTTACACAGATACTGGAATTCTGAACTCAGCTCCTCATATTTTCATAGCAAGCACTTTGCCCACTGAGCCATCCCTTGAATTAAAAACCACTTTTATGTGTTTAGTTATGTGTGGGTGTATGCATACTCCTGGTCACAAGCACTGAACTGGAAGAGGGCATTGAATCTCCTCTGTCATTCCACCTGTCTTCTTTTAAGGCGGGAGTCTCTCGCTAAAAGCAGGACTCCTGTTTCCCCAGTTATGCTGGGGCCAGTAACCCCAGCAATCCTCCTGTTTCCACTCATCTCAGTGCTGAGGTACAGGCATGCCACACTGTGGTGTCTGGCATGGGACACTCAGCTTGTTATGTGGATGCTGGGGCCTGAACTCTTGAGTGTCATGATTGTGTGACAAGTGTTATTAGTACTGTGCCATCTCTCCAGCCACTCCAAGTGTTCTTATTTATTATTTCACAATTTTATACATGTATACAATGTAATTTTTCATTATATTCACTATCCCTCCAATTCCTCTGGGATTCTCCCCTTGAACTTTATTTTTTAGTTACATTTGTTTATATGTTTACTTATGTGTGGGGGTGAGGCAGGGGTACATGTGCACCCATGTGCTATGGTACATGTATGAAGGTAGAGGACCCCTTGGTGGAGTCAGTTCTCTCCTTTTACTGTGTGGAACCCAGGGGTCAAACTCAGGTCATCAAGCTTGGCAGCATTTCTGCCGAGCCATCTTATAGGCCCAGCCTTGAGGTTTTTAAAAAAGCAATTTTATAGATTTGTTTTCATTTGTATGTAGCTATGTCTGTGAGAGTGTGTGCCGTGTGTATGTAGAGACCAGAAGAGGGTATCAAACACCTCAAGCTGGAGTTATAGACAGTTGTGAGCTACCCAGCGTGGACACTGGGAACTGAACTCAGGTCCTTGGGAAGAGCAGTAAGGACTTTTAACTGCTGAGTCATCTCTCCAGATGAAAAATTAATTTTAAGACATTCCTAAAGAAAAAGGTTACTGTATTATTTAATGCTCAACACTTAAAGAGGCACAATTACCTACAAGTCACAAACAAGAGTAGAGAGGTCTGTTCTGGATATCAGAACTAGGAAACCGCAGAGGGAAGCCACAGGGAGCCTGGTGAGCTGGGCGCCTGCTGGCGCCTGCACGCCACTGACCTTGAGGTCCAGGTGCAGGATGTAGTGCTGGTGCAGGTAATGCACGCCCTCACAGATCTGCTTTGTGAACAAGACCACGTCCAGTTCAGTGAGGTGGTACTTCTCATCAGTGATCCGCTCGAAGAGTTCACCGCCATCCACACTGGCAGAGAAAAGTGAGAAGCAGGGTGTCAGAGTGAGTGAGACTTTCACAGGGCCTGAGAGCAGCCAGTCGAGGTGTGCCCAAAGTCAACAACAGCTCGCAAGTCCCCGAGGCTGATTACAAAGGGCCCCTGACGCTGCTCTATGGGGTCCTGTTGGGTCCTTTGTTTTGGCTTAGAACCTGGATCATCTAAATTAGGGTTATAAACTCAGCGGCTTGGGAGTGCCAATAGTACACACATGGCAAGAAGCCTAAGAGAGCCTGGCATGGTGACCCACAGCTATTATCCTAGCACTTGGGAGGTGGAGAACAGAGGGTCCAGAGTTCAGGACCATTCACAGCTGCACAATGTTTCAGATATGCACTACGTGAACCCTTGTCCCAAAAAATAAACCAATTAATGAGTTAATTAACTGAAAAATTAAAACAAAGCCTAAGTATGCAAATTAGATCACTTGTGAGACAAAAGTTTTCCTTTGTTTTTCTAAACATTTTGGCCAGTACTAGTGACTGAACCTAGGTCTCACAGCCCACTACCCCTGAGCTCACTGTTTTTCCCACTTTTAATTCATATATGCTACAACAAATGTTTTTCTCTATTATCCCTGTCAGAAGGTAAGAAGCAACACAAGCACAAAGATAAATGGCCCTTAGTGTATGGCTTAAGTGTTCAGAGTCTGTTTCTGAGCCAGAGAGAAGTCTCAACCCCACAAGGTGAGTACAATACACCAGTAGCTGCAGTATCCTCTACACAGGTGAACTGTAGTACACCTCTACACAGAGTGAACTGTAGTACACCCCTACACAGGTGAACTGTAGTACACCCCTACACAGAGAGAACTGTAGTACACCTCTACACAGAGTGAACTGTAGTACACCTCTACACAGGTGAACTGTAGTACACCCCTACACAGAGTGAACTGTAGTACACCTCTACACAGGTGAACTGCAGTACACCCCTACACAGGGCGGCACCCCACACAGACGAACGAGACACCTCACAGGTGAACTGTAGTACACCTCTACACAGAGTGAACTGTAGTACACCTCTACACAGAGTGAACTGTAGTACACCTCTACACAGAGGCTGGCCACCCCTCACAGGTGAACTGTAGTACACCTCTACACAGGTGAACTGTAGTACACCCCTACACAGAGTGAACTGCAATACACCTCTACACAGAGTGAACTGTAGTACACCCCTACACAGGTGAACTGTAGTACACCCCTACACAGAGTGAACTGTAGTACACCCCTACACAGGTGAACTGTAGCCCCCACACAGGTGAACTGTAGTACACCTCTACACAGAGTGAACTGTAGTACACCTCTACACAGAGTGAACTGTAGTACACCTCTACACAAGGTGAACTGTAGTACACCTCTACACAGAGAGAACTGTAGTACACCCCCACACAGGTGAACTGCAGTACACCTCTACACAGGTGAACTGCAGTACACCCACACAGGTGAACTGCAGTACACCTCTACACAGGTGAACTGTAGTACACCCCTACACAGAGTGAACTGTAGTACACCCCTACACAGGTGAACTGTAGTACACCTCTACACAGAGTGAACTGTAGTACACCCCTACACAGACTGAACTGTAGTACACCCCTACACAGGTGAACTGTAGTACACCCCTACACAGGTGAACTGTAGTACACCTCTACACAGAGAGAACTGTAGTACACCTCTACACAGAGTGAACTGTAGTACACCCCTACACAGGTGAACTGTAGTACACCCCTACACAGGTGAACTGTAGTACACCTCTACACAGAGAGAACTGTAGTACACCTCTACACAGGTGAACTGCAGTACACCTCTACACAGGTGAACTGCAGTACACCTCTACACAGGTGAACTGCAGTACACCTCTACACAGGTGAACTGTAGTACACCCCTACACAGGTGAACTGTAGTACACCCCTACACAGAGTGAACTGTAGTACACCCCTACACAGGTGAACTGTAGTACACCTCTACACAGAGTGAACTGTAGTACACCTCTACACAAGGTGAACTGTAGTACACCTCTACACAGAGTGAACTGTAGTACACCTCTACACAGAGAGAACTGTAGTACACCTCTACACAGAGTGAACTGTAGTACACCTCTACACAAGGTGAACTGTAGTACACCCCTACACAGAGAGAACTGTAGTACACCTCTACACAGAGTGAACTGTAGTACACCCCTACACAGAGTGAACTGCAATACACCTCTACACAGGTGAACTGTAATACACCCCTACACAGAGTGAACTGTAGTACACCCCTACACAGAGTGAACTGTAGTACACCCCTACACAGAGTGAACTGTAGTACACCCCTACACAGAGTGAACTGTAGTACACCTCTACACAGGTGAACTGAAGTACACCTCTACACAGAGTGAACTGTAGTACACCCCTACACAGGTGAACTGTAGTACACCTCTACACAGAGTGAACTGTAGTACACCCCTACACAGGTGAACTGTAGTACACCCCTACACAGGTGAACTGTAGTACACCTCTACACAGGTGAACTGTAGTACACCCCTACACAGAGTGAACTGCAATACACCTCTACACAGAGTGAACTGTAGTACACCCCTACACAGGTGAACTGCAGTACACCCCACACAGAGTGAACTGTAGACACCCTACACAGGGAACGTAGAGAACTGTAGTACACCCCTACACAGGTGAACTGTAGTACACCCCTACACAGGTGAACTGTAGTACACCTCTACACAGAGTGAACTGTAGTACACCTCTACACAGAGTGAACTGTAGTACACCTCTACACAGGTGAACTGTAGTACACCCCTACACAGGTGAACTGTAGTACACCTCTACACAGAGAGAACTGTAGTACACCCCTACACAGGTGAACTGCAGTACACCTCTACACAGGTGAACTGCAGTACACCCACACAGGTGAACTGCAGTACACCTCTACACAGGTGAACTGTAGTACACCCCTACACAGAGTGAACTGTAGTACACCCCTACACAGGTGAACTGTAGTACACCTCTACACAGAGTGAACTGTAGTACACCCCTACACAGACTGAACTGTAGTACACCCCTACACAGGTGAACTGTAGTACACCCCTACACAGGTGAACTGTAGTACACCCCTACACAGGTGAACTGTAGTACACCCCTACACAGAGTGAACTGTAGTACACCCCTACACAGGTGAACTGTAGACACCCTACACAGAGTAACACCCCTACACAGAGTGAACTGTAGTACACCCCTACACAGAGTGAACTGTAGTACACCCCTACACAGAGTGAACTGTAGTACACCTCTACACAGGTGAACTGAAGTACACCTCTACACAGAGTGAACTGTAGTACACCTCTACACAGGTGAACTGTAGTACACCTCTACACAGAGAGAACTGTAGTACACCGCTACACAGAGTGAACTGTAGTACACCTCTACACAGAGTGAACTGTAGTACACCTCTACACAGAGTGAACTGTAGTACACCTCTACACAGAGTGAACTGTAGTACACCTCTACACAGAGTGAATTGTAGTACACCTCTACACAGAGTGAACTGTAGTACACCCCTACACAGGTGAACTGTAGTACACCTCTACACAGGTGAACTGTAGTACACCCCTACACAGAGTGAACTGTAGTACACCTCTACACAGAGTGAACTGTAGTACACCTCTACACAGGTGAACTGTAGTACACCCCTACACAGAGTGAACTGTAGTACACCTCTACACAGGTGAACTGTAGTACACCCCTACACAGAGTGAACTGTAGTACACCTCTACACAGGTGAACTGCAGTACACCCCTACACAGAGTGAACTGTAGTACACCCCTACACAGAGTGAACTGTAGTACACCTCTACACAGGTGAACTGTAGTACACCCCTACACAGGTGAATTGTAGTACACCTCTACACAGAGTGAACTGCAGTACACCTCTACACAGGTGAACTGTAGTACACCTCTACACAGAGTGAACTGTAGTACACCTCTACACAGAGTGAACTGTAGTACACCTCTACACAGGTGAACTGTAGTACACCTCTACACAGAGTGAATTGTAGTACACCTCTACACAGAGTGAACTGTAGTACACCTCTACACAGGTGAACTGAAGTACACCTCTACACAGAGTGAACTGTAGTACACCTCTACACAGAGTGAACTGTAGTACACCTCTACACAGAGTGAACTGTAGTACACCCCTACACAGAGTGAACTGTAGTACACCCCTACACAGGTGAACTGTAGTACACCTCTACACAGAGTGAACTATAGTACACCTCTACAGAGTGAACTGTAGTACACCCCTACACAGAGTGAACTGTAGTACACCCCTACACAGAGTGAACTGCAGTACACCTCTACACAGAGTGAACTGTAGTACACCTCTACACAGAGTGAACTGTAGTACACCTCTACACAGAGTGAACTGTAGTACACCTCTACACAGAGTGAACTGTAGTACACCTCTACACAGAGTGAACTGTAGTACACCTCACCCCTACACAGGTGAACTGAAGTACACTCCTACACAGGTGAACTGCAGTACACCTCTACACAGGTGAAGTATAGTACACCTCTACACAGGTGAAGTATAGTATGCCCTTACACAGTGTGAGCTATAGTACACCCTCACAAAGTGAGCCATAGTACACCTACCCAGAGTAAGCTGTACTACACCCACATGGAGAGTGCTGCAATGCACCTGTACAGAAATTGGTGTGTATCCAATGTAACGAGATTCTTCATATTTTCATGGAATCCAGATAGAAAGATTTTCCAATTTCTCTCCACATTTCCCATTTCCAACTGTTAATCTCTCATTCAAAATCACTAAAAGTTGCTTAGGACAAACTTGCATAACCTCTGCAAATCAGATCAGACTTGCTGGCCACTGATTCGTTATAAAATGACTTTGTCCTCCAAATTCCATGCTCAGATTCAAAGCAGTAAACAAGGGTGGGTGGCATGACTCTGGGCACACCAGTAAGAGCAGAGAAGCCACCACCCCACCTCTGAGATACTCACTACTCCATGATCAAGGTGAAGCTGTTCTTGCTCTCAAAAGCATCGTAGAGTTGGATCAAGTTGACATGGCTGAGCTGGTTCATAATGTTGATCTCATTCTTCACATCCTCCTTGTGGGACCAGAGGAAAATGGTTTTCCAAGAAAACAGATCAGGAAGAGAAGACCATTTGCATCTCCCAAGATGTGTGCATGCCCACACACAGGCACACACTCATATCCATATACAGACATGCTCAGTTCACACACATTCACACACACACTCATTCACACATTCATACATTCACACATATACTCACACACTCACATGCACACAAATGTTATGCTTCTTCCGACTCCTGCTGCCACAGCAGGTCTCCTTGACTTGTCACACAAAGTGTGTTCTTATAACAGAAAGGACCTTGATTCAACCCACCCACTCATTACACAGGGGGCCCAAGAAGGAAAAGCCCTTGTGTCCAAGGTCCTGCCAGCATGTTGGCAGAGCCAGCCAGGCTGTCCACATACGTGAGGTCTGGACTAAGGAATGTGGGTGACTAGTGAGTGGTGTGTAAGAGTCAAGGTCAAGAGGAAGGGAGCACATCAAGTTTCCCGCTTGGCATGGAGAGGACTGGAGCACGGTGCTAGAGAGAAAATGAAAGATTCTGGGCTTGGCTAGGGGATCTGGCTGGCTCGGGGCAGTTGTCTTACCCGATCTTTGATGTTCTTCACTTTGATGATCTTGGCTGCCAGTGCTAGGCCTGTGGATCTCTCTGTACACCTGTGTACCTGGCCAAACCGGCCCCTGTAGAGACACAGGGACACAGTAAGCTATAGAGACTATGAAAAGCTCACCAAATTGGGGAGGACAACCATTCCCCTCCTCATACATACCATGTGGACTGTCCTGCACCACAGGCTATTGTCTTAGTCATCACTCACTCCTGGGCTAACCCAGCATCTAGAAAATCACTTCTTCACCACCCACAATCATGTGACATACTCTGCAACCTAAATGGAAACCTCCTGACCTTACCATGAGCTATTCTGGATATGGGAATGGCCCCCTACCCACTCTACATCATCCCAGCCTACTTAGGAACCCAGGCCTAGCACTCCTGTTCCCTCAGGAATGTTTCCCATGCCCTACTTTGAGGGCCTCCTACACCTCCCCCCTCATATGTGCAGCCACCTGCACCCCAGGGAGAGCCCTGTCCATTCTCTATGCAGGTAAGCCTCCATGTTCCAGTCCCTGCTCCCCGGCCAGGTGGATGCTGCACTCACCCTCCCAAGACTTCATGTTGGGACACTGTGTAGCCTGTTGAGATGGAGGTACCCTTGACACTCACTACCCGATGTTCAAAAGGGGCTGGGGGAGCGGCACTGTCATCTGTAGAGAAACAACAAAGAACCCTTGAGTCTCCTACAACCCTCCTAAACTCACTAAATGTCACTTGGGTTACCAGGTGGCAGCTAGTACTTGGAAAGACCACTGCGTCAGGACTGGGCTTTTTCTTTTTAATTTTATTACTCTGTGTGTGTGTGTGTGTGTGTGTGTGTGTGTGTGTGTGTATGTGCATGCATGGCATGCATGTACACATGGATGTCAGGAGCTAGTTCAGTCTTCACCACATGTGTCCCAGGCAGAAAATGCCTTTACCTGCTGAAGTGGCTCTGGGTTTTTATTTTAATTGGATAATATAAACACCCAGAAATGTCACATGAAATTATTAGAAGAAGAAGAAGAAGAAGAAGAAGAAGAAGAAGAAGAAGAAGAAGAAGAAGAAGAAGAAGAAGAAGAAGAAGAAAATGTGCAGCAGTCACAATGCTACAAAGCAGCACAAATGTCTGGCTGGAAGATTCTAAGGCTGGATCCTCGTCTGTTCATGCTTGTCCTGGGAGCATCCTGCGTGCTCCCTGAGTGCAAACAGTGCTCCACAGACTCCCAAATGCTTGGAGTGGAAGCTCTTTGTCATAGCCGAACACAGACACCTAATCCCCTCTGCAATGAATGACAAGCAGGTCAAAAGATCACCACTTCCACCCTATTGCAAGTGGCAGCTGGAATGGCTCGCTGTGTCCTACACCTGTCAGTGTCTTTTCTTATTTTTCTCCTCTTCTCCGCCCCCTGTCTGAGGGGAGAGCATTATATGTAATCTAGGCCTACCTCAAACTCATTCCATAGCCATGGGTGACGTTGAACGCATCCTCTTGCCTCCATCATCCACATGCTTGGATTAGAGACATGCAACACCACATTTGGTTTTATGCAATGTTGGGGATCAAACCCAGGGCTTCAGTTTTGTGCATACTGGGCACACATTCCAGCAACTGAACTATATCTCTAACCCTCATGCTTTTTTGCACTCTTGCCTGCCTTCATTTAAAATGACGCCAGTGGTGGAACCCTGAGGTAGGAAAGTTGCCTTGAGCAATCTACGTAGCTGGGCCATGGAGGTTTGAGCTGCCAAACCATCAAAGCCAATTCAAGACCCAAGTGTATTTTGGACTTAACTAGCCAGAGGCTTCCTCAGAACCTCATAATCTAGGGAAGGTGTTGAGCTGAGCCTTGGCCCCACTTACCTAGAACTGTGACGGCAGCCTCTGCAGCAGACGACATCCTCCCTCCGGCTTCAGTTCCCCCTGAACCCTTGGCTGCATGGTCCTTCCAGGGCTCAGGCTTTTGCGTTCCTGGATCTGTGTCTTGCTGCAGGTCTGTGGTCCCAACAGCCTCTTCTCCCCAGTCCCTCGTGGTCAAGCTTGGTCCAGCGAGAGGCTCAGACCCAAGCTCCACCTCCTCCTCTGTATTCATTCCTCCATTGTTGCTACTCCTCTTTGGCAGGGGTAGAAACTCTCTGGCTCCTTTAGGGATATGGTTTTCCAACTCAGTCCCAGGGTCTTTGGGATGTGGGTCATGCTCATCAGGTTGGGTAACTTCTAGAGCTTCTGTAGAGGCTGTGGGGCTGCCCCTTTGTGTCTCAAGCAGCTCCCCAGGAGTATCCATCTCTTGCACGTGGGCAGAGATCCTGGGCAGAGAGAAATATGGCCCTGAGGTTCAAAACAAGGAAGTTCAGGGGATGAAACTCAGCAGGACAGCATTGCTTGGTGCCACAGTTAGCTTCAGCTGTCAGTCAGCTTGACACAAACTTAGAGTCACCTGGAAATAGGAAACCCCCTATGGAAGAATTGTCCAGGTCAGATTGGCCTGTGGCCATATCTATGAAGCATTTTCTTCATTGCTAATTGATGTAGGAGGGCATAGCCTACTCTAGGCAGCACTCTCCCTACACAGATGAACCTGGACTATGTAAGAAAGGTAGCTGAAATGCAGAGACCTACAGCCAAACATTAGGTAGAGCTCAAGGAATCCTGTCAAAGAGGGGGAGGAAGGATTATAAGAGTCAGAGAGTCAAGGACACCATAAGAACATGGTCCATATAATTAACCAGGCTGGGCTCATGGGGCTCACAGAGACTGAAGGGACAATCAAGATCTCTGCATGAGTCTGACATAGGTCCTCTGCATGTATGTTACGCTTGTGTAGCTCGGTGTTCTTGTGGGACTCCTAACAGAGAGAGCAGGGGCTGTCTCTGACTTGTTTGTTTGTCTTCAGAGACAGGGTCTCTCTATATAACAGTTCTGGCTGTCCTGGAAATCATCCTGTAGACCAGACTGACCTCGAACTCACAGAGATCCACCTGCCTCTGCCTTCTTAGTGCTGGGATTAAAGGCGAGCATCACCACTGCCCAGTTTGTCTCTGACTCTTTTGCCTGCTTTTGGGACCCTTTTCCTCCTACTGGGTTTCCTCATCTAGCCTTGATATGAGGGTTTGTGCCTAGTCTATAACTTCTTATGCCGTATTTGGTTGATATCCCTGGGAGGCCTGCTCTTCTCTGAAAGGAAACAGAGGAGGAGTGGATCTAGGGAAGAGGAGAGGTAGGGGGAGGGACTAGAAAGAGAGGAGGGAGGGAAACTGCAATCAGGATGTAACATACGAGAAAAGAATAAATAAATTAATAAAGAAAAAAAGAAAGGCCGCTGAGCAAGCCAGAGGAAGGAAGCCACTAAACAACGCTCCTCCATGCGGTCTGCTTCTATTCTGGCCTCCAGGTTCCTGCCTTGGCTTCCCTCTGTGATAAGCCAAATGAGGTTTTCTTTCGTTTTTGTTTTTGTTTTTCTCCTAAATTGCTTTCAGGCATGCTATTTTTCACACAATAGAAAGCAAACTAAGACACTTAGCATATGCAAGTTCCTGGCTTTAATCCACTGCCTTATCAGAACTGTGTGTTCTCTGGATCATGGTAGTCCAGTTTTCCTAATAATTTTGTTTTGCTTTAAGCCAACTGATGAAAGGATCTGTTAGGATTTCAAAAGTGCTAGTAAAAAATAAGACAAATACAGATAACAAAATTGCTTCAATAATGTTACAGTGTTTGAAATAATAAGAATACTAAAGTATATTTTCTAGCCATAATTTGTACAATTTTAGGCCTGACTTATTTTTATTTAGTTAAAATATAGTTACATTATTCCTCCTAATATTTGTTGTTGTTGTTGTTGTTTTGAGACAGGGTTTCTCTGTGTAACAGCTCTGGCTGTCCTGGAACTCACTCTGTAGATCAAGCTGGCCTTGAACTCACAGAGATCTACCTGCCTCTGCCTCCTGAGTGCTGGGATTAAGGCGTGTGCCACCACTGCCTGTCCCTGGCCCATCTTAACCATTTTTTTTTTTAATTTCTTCTTAAAATTCTAAAACAGCCATATCTGTGTTTCATTTTGTAAACATTTTTTTAAACAAAGACAAATCTCTTTATCTATTTGTTTATGTCTGTGCATGCATGTGCACTTTTATTTGCAGGTATGTGTGCCTGTGTACATGATGTCAGAAGAAGACATCAAGCATCTTCCTCCACTGCTCTTCGCCTACTCTTTAGTGGCAGACCCTGTCCCTGGATCTAGAGCTCATGGAGTTTTTGTTGTCATTGTTGTTTATCTTTGTTGTTGTTTTACTTTTGCTAGACTGGAAGCCCCAATGACCCCGTTTCTGCCCCTGTAACAGCTGGAGTTATAGGAGTCATGAGGTGCCCAGATTGCTGGGTGCTGGGTGCTGGGGTATGAACTCCAATCTTTGATTGGCAGCCATTTCTCCAACCCCAATGTTTTTAGAGACACCTAATTTCAAACTTGGAGGCTAATTTTCCATAAAAGAATAAACAGAGAACTAAAATGTTATTGATCTTTCCTTATGGTTGTATAGCATTTACACTACAAACTCAAAGTTTCATCTTCTATTGCACATTAAAAATTATTAGTGGCCAGGTGGTTGTGCACGCTTTTAATCCCCACACTTGGGAGGAAGAGGTGGATCTCTGTGAATTTGAAGTCAGCCTAGTCTACAGAGTGAATTCCAGGACCCTGTCTCAAAACAAACAAACGAAAAACCAAACATAAAAATAATAAAATATGACTAAAATTCAAGTTTCATGGATGGGGGGTTGGTGCAGGATCCTGCCTCAATTTGTTATACCAGACTTGGTTGACTCTCCCAAAGGAAGCCTTACTGACTCTGAGGAGTGGATGGGCACGGGGTAGGTGGAGGTAGGGGAAGGGGGAAAGGGGAGGAGGAGGGAGGGGGAACTAGGGCTAGCATATAAAATAAAAAAAATTTAAGTAAAGAAAGGAAAAAAGAAGATGGGCGGGGTGAAGTGGCAGAGCCTTCATCTAACATGTACCGTAAGTTCCATTCCCAGCTACATACACACAGACTAAGATGGTAAATTGTGTGTTACATGTCCTTTATCATAATACAAATAATAAAGAAAAATATAAGTCCTCTCTCCAGCAGTTGAAAGCCGAGGCTCTTCTCTTAAGTTTAGAACTTTAGGTATGGAAGCTGACCCCAAGTGGTGCCGTTGCGAGACCTGTCAGCCCATCTACAGTTGGTTGAGAGACCTGTCAGCCCGTCTACAGTTGGTTGAGAGACCTGTCAGCCCGTCTACAGTTGGTTGAGAGACCTGTCAGCCCGTCTACAGTTGGTTGAGAGACCTGTCAGCCCGTCTACAGTTGGTTGAGAGACCTGTCAGCCCATCTACAGTTAAGCACTGAGCAAGAGTGCTTGGGGCTCGATGGGCTTCAGTGATGGCAGCAGGATGAAAGGTGGTACCCAAGTTAAGTCCCTTGAGCCTGTCTCAGACCAAGGGGCTCCAAAAATCTTGACAAGCCAGTCAGGTAGTGGTGACACACATCTTTAATTCCAGCACTTGGGAGGCAGAGGCAGGTGGTCCTCTGTGAGTTCTAGGCTAGCCTGGTCTACAGTTCGAGTTACAGGACAGACTCCAAAGCTACAGAGAAACCATGTCTTGAAAAAAACAAACAAATAAACAAACAAAAATTGGCAAGCCAATTGCTGGAGGAGTAACCAGGTGGTCAGTGGAAAAGGCTATTGGCCACTTCAGTCCTCTCTGGTCTTCTCTTTCAGTGGGGTAGGAGGTGATCCCAGTGCCACACAGCTCTATGTCATGCTTGGTATCCAAAGCTTCCTTACCTACTGCATAGCACACCTACCACAGGCATTGCCAACTGACAAACTCCATACTGCCAAGTTCAGGTATGGTCTCAGGATACCTACAGGAGCAGCCCCTTCTGGTCATTTTCAATCACTTTCCTCAAAAAAAAAAAATAACACATCTTGGGGAAGGAAGGGCAGGTGGTGGCCTCCCACTTCCTGAGGCATGCTTCAGGTCTGGTGGGTCTGAAATTCAGCTCAGGGGTGACACTGGGGTGGGAAGCACTTCTCACTGAGGGGATTTTGAGGATCCCTAACATGGTTCAGGAAATTCATCCCTACTGCAACAGTTGCTACAGTCAGACCTTTGGCCTGCATCCAGACACGTCTACCAGGAATCCCTCCTTCCAGTCTGTCAAGGACCCTGGGACAGAGGTGGCAGGGTGGGTGGGGCCCCATTTCCTTCCAGAACCTATCACCACAGCACAAAGGAGGCTGGATAATCTCCCAGTGCTAAGTCTTGTGGTCTCTGTGACAGGTTAAGGGAGTTCAGGCAAGTGCAGAGGACATCAAGAAACTACGAGAAGCCTGGAAAGCCAGGGCCCTCTCAGACTTTGGACACGCTAATGCTGCACCACAGCACTGAATACAGATGGGATACAGCAGCCAGATCTCCCTTCTACAGTTTCTACTTGAGCACCACATAAACCTCCCCAAAGCACCTGCCCCACCCTTCTCTCCTCAGGACTTAATGTTGGCCCGAGGAAGTGGGTGTGCAGTTAAGCACATTGATTGGTAAGCTAGTCTCAGATCCCAGCTTTGTGTGATGGTAGCATTCAGCCCAAATTTCACCATCAGTAAAATAATATGACAACCACCTTCACACGCCGGGAATCCTGGGAGAATAAAATGAAACGATGCCTGTAGAAGGCTAGGCCAATGCTTGGCATGTGATGAAGTGCTCTGTGAAACCCATTTGTTGAAGAATTTATCTAAGAGAGTGCTAGCCAGTAAGAAGCCTGAGCCATCGGCCAAACAGTATATAATTAATATAAGTCTCTGTGTGTTTATTGGGGTGGGGGGTAAACAGTTGTGCCACTGGTCCACTGGCCATGCTGCATGTAAATGGATGCAGCTGATTTCACCCATTGCCCAACACAGAAGACCATCCCTTACCTGGGATGTGCTTCACCACTGTGAGCTTCACTGGTTGGAGTTAGCGGTCCTAAGGGCAGAGGGCTGGACTCTGAACTCAGCCTCATGTCCTCTTCTGAGAGCCAACAGTCAGGCTTGCTGGACGAGGTTCCTTGTTCTGCACTTTGGGACATCTTGAGACTGGTGAGGACCTCGCTGATTCTGCCAAGTGCTACAGACAATCCCAGGGTAGTCCCAGGGTTCTCACTGGATGCCTCGGGAATCCTGGTTTCTACTTCTGTGGGTGGGGGTACTTGGCCCGGGCCAAGAACTTCAGCCCCCTGCCTCAGTGAGTCTCCTGCCTGGGTGAAGTCAGCTCCCTTCAGTGAAGTATTGAAGATGAGAGGCAGCCTCTCCACTGTCCCCACTGTTCTGTCCTCCTCTTGGCTCTCTGTAAGATAACAGGGAGCACAGAAACACATTCTAAGAGGCACGGATCACAAAGGAAAGACGAGCCAGCGTATATGTGTTGTTCCATGTACCACATCTATAAAAGCCAAACACCGGACATGACCCTTGGAGGATGTGTCTGGATGATAGAGCATCCACCCAATGGAGCCATTTTTAAAATGAGAAAATAGAAGCTTAAGAGATGGCTCAGCAGTTAAGAGCACTGTGTACTCTTCCAGAGAACCCAGGTTTGATCCCCAGCACCTACAATGTAGCTCAGGTGTCTGTGTCTCCATTTCTAGGGGATCTGGTGCCCTCTTCTGGTCTCCATAGACAACGTGCACACAAGCAGTGCACAGATACATGGGGACAAAGCACCAATACACATTGAGAGAAGACAGGAGGATGTCTGTGAGTGGCGCATGTATGAAACACACCGCTACTTATAAGTGGTTTGCACAGACTGGAAGGACAGACTTTTAAATGACCACAAATAGAGGTCTTAATGAGGAAGGGCATAAGCCAGACTTTTCTTAGCATATATAGTTTCATAAATTTGACTTTAGAACACTAAAAATATTATTTGAAAAAAGAGTTTTGTCTTCTTGAGACCAGGTCTCACTGTGTAGCCCTGGCTTGCCTGAAACTCACAGAGATCTGCCTACCTCTGCCTTCTGTGTGCCAGGATTAAAGGTACGCACACCATGCCGGGCATGTAAAGTTTTAAAAAAGAATTAACTTTTATAATAGCAATCCAGAACTCTGGAGATAAAGGCAGAAGGACCAGAAGTTCAAGGCCATCCTCAGCTACATCGTGGTGTTTGAGACCAGCCTGGGATCCATGAGACCCTGTCTCAAAAAGCCAAACAAGACTAAAACAACCATGCCACGCACGGGTGGCACACATGCTATTTTATTCTGAACCATTCTATGTGCGGTAGAAACCGCAGGGGGCCACTCACCTGCTCCTCGGGCAGTCAGCACATGCTTTGGCTTAGCTCCAGTAACTTCAGGTTGTTCCTTGTTCTAAAACAGCCACAATAAAAACACCCTCAATCACACATCCACACGCTTAAATGTAGTCAGTTTATTTCATACCATCCACAGCAGTGCCGCTGGACGTCAAGGCTGGATGAGCCTAGTTTCAAACCCAGAACCCAGCTCCTTTCCAGTACTTCACTGAATGGCTAGGGAGCTAGCTGGGTCTCCTGAGAGGAAGTTCTAAATAGCCTGGAGTGCAAGGGTCTTAGGCCAAGAATGGGAAAAAAAAAATCCTAAATCATCAATTCAGCTTACCTATTCATGCTGCTATAGTTCTGGTTGAGACTGGATTCTGAAGTCACATCCATGCTTGGGGATGGGGCCCCAGCCTTGGAGCTGAGGAACTACCTCCAGCTGACTTTTATCATTGGGCCTGCAATTGCCAGACTTTCTTTGTTTTTCAAGAGAAAGTGGAATTAGATTTTTAAATCAGACTTAATAAAGTGTAAAATTAAAATAACTTATTCAAGCATTGTTTGTGTACAGTAAATCATACATACAAACTATTAACTTTTTGTGAGACAGTGTCTCACTATGTAGTCCTGGCTGATCTAGAACTCCCTGTAAAAACCAGACTCACAGAATTTTGCCTGCTTCTGCCTCCTGAGTACTGACCTTAAAGGTGTGCATCACAGCACCAGTTCAACAAATGTATGATACATAGGATAATTCTGCTACCCCCCCCCACCAAGGGATTCCTAGAATTTTAATGTGAAGATTTAAATTTTCAGTGTTGGAAACCAATTAAAATCTTTTCAATGCTGCAGATAAAGTGTGTCTTCAGCTGTGTTTTTGTTGTTGTTTGTTTATTTGTTTTCTGGATTCCCATTAAGGACCTCTGTGGCTCCAGCCTGAGAGAGGCCTGTAACTAGTGAGTCATACTCCCTGGTGTACAGGGGCCCAGGGGCATGTTAACCAGAACTACTGCTGTGACTTAACACCAGGAGCCACATTTGGAACTTTACTCATCAAAAGTTCAAAACCCCCAGGGGTCCCAGCAGGAGATGGAAACCTTTTTTGCAGAGTTCCCTGACAGTCACAGAGTGACCAGGGCCAGTATAAGGCTCTGAGGATGTCTGTCAGGTCCTGGTCTCTAGCAGACCTTTAAGGTTTAAAGAAGAGCTGTGCAGCCGGGATTGGTCTGAACCAGCACTTAAGCATCCTCTGGACCAGCGCTCAGCATCCTTACACAGTGGGCTCCTTAACACTGGTCACTGTGTTTCAAAATAGCTATAGCTGACACAATTTTCAAAACATCTCAAGATTAGTTCCTACTGCTCCTGCCCACTCTATGAGATAATATTTACAAATGGGATGGTTCCTGATTTACACAGAAAAAGTGAGAAGCAGAGAGAATCAGAGGAGTAAGCCAAGTGCTGAAGGCAGAGTTAAAAGGGGCAAGTTTGACCCAAGAGGCAGGTTCCTGCCACACTGCTGTACTGGGAAGGGTGATGTGGGGTCCCCCACCCAGCTCCGGGGCTATGGTTAGACACTGACTGTGGTGTCCCATCCCCTAAGCATGATTTGACTTCTGAATCCAGTCTCAACCAGAACTGTAGCAGCTTGAATGTTGATCTGACTTAGGGTTTGTTTGTTTTTCCATTCCTGGTCTACATCTTTGTTTATCCCCTGGGAAGGTCCTCAAAGTCCTCCCCTCTCCCAAACGCCCCTGGCCATTTTACCTTTGCTTCACTCACTATTCCCAGTCCTGTTCCCTTCTCATTCCTTTGTTCCTGGGCGTCAAGTATTGCATCCATCCATCCATCCATCCACCCGTCCGTCCGTCCATCCATCCATCCATCCGTCCGTCCATCCATCCATCCAGTGTGTGTGTGCGTGTGTGTATGTGTGTGTGTGTGTGTGTGTGTGTGTGTGTGTGTGTGTAAGCATGACCCCACTCTTGGAGATCACATTCCTGGAAGTGGTCTCCTCCTTCTACCACTGGTTTTCAACTCAGTTTTCAGACTTGACAGCAAGTGTCTTTACCCACTGAGCCATCGTGCACGCCCAAGGACACTAAGTTTTACTCCACCTTTCTTTGCCTTCCTTCTTTGTCTTTCTGTTGTCCTTTTGGTGTGTGCACATGTGCAGGTCAGAGGACAACCTGTGGGAGTCAGTTCTCTCTCTGTTATGGCAGTCCTAGGATCAAACTCAGGTTATGCCGTCTGGTGACAGCCATTTTTACCCACTGAGCCATCTTGCCAGCCCAGTTCTGTTCTTTTAATAGTAAGGGCACAATACATGGAGAACACACAGCCCAGCGCATAAAAAAAAAATGCTAGCTGTTGCTATGATCCTCACATCATCGGTGTGGCCCAGACCTGTGCAGCAGACAGCCCCTCTTCCTCCCTCTCTCTGCAGGATCTATCCTGCCACTCCTGTTCAGGAAACTAGAGGCATTGTCACAGACCGCTTCATCAGTAGAGGCTGACTTGTGCACTGTTCTGAGGAAGCCCTTGTTGGCTCAGATAGTCCTTTCCCTCCGTTTCTCCAGTATAGGGAGCTTCCTGTGTCCACCCGCCCATGCAGCCTGGTGTGCTGGGCCCACCCATAATTGAGCCTGAAGCTAAAGGCTGCTGGCATCTAATGATAATCTAATTCATCGTTACAAAGTTCAGTGAGCACTTAGAGGATGAAGCAGATGATAGGTGGTGTGCTGGGGATGTAGACCAATGGCAGGACACCTGCCTTGTATATATGAGGCCCTGAGTTCAGTCCCCGGAATCACCACAAAAATATAACATAATCAAGGAAGACCTTGACCAAGTCCTGGCATAATTTCCAAATGTAATAGCCAGTGCTAGGATATAATGCAGTTCTACATATGACTACTGCACCCCTACAAATGGAGGGTCTCCAGAAGTCTGTGGAGTCTGGGTTTCAGCATGGGGAATATTTTCATCCCTGACAAGCAGAAGCATGTTGTGATCCAGTCAACAATCTAATGGGAAGACAGGACCCAAACCATCAGAGAGTCAACAATACACAAATTAAGCACAAAGACCAGAGGGCCGTGCAGACAGGTAACACTGCAAGAATGAAAAGACAGTCCCTGGCTTCCCCTGTTCCCCAATGCCTATACATTTACAACACAGGCATCAGTTAGTTCTATTATTCTGCAAAAAGCTCTTACAAACAAGTAAAGAAAGGGTGGGAAACAAAATATGAAAGAGGAGGACAGGTTGTGATCAGATTGTTCTCTGAAAATGCAAAGCTTTTGGATACATCATTCTGTCTGCTCTTGGTCATGTTTGAGGTCTTCCTTAATAAAAAGACAGATTTTTATGAATTCAAAAGATGAATCCATTTTATAAGACACCACCAACTGCTTCCTTTGGGTCTGACTTAATAAGGAAACTAAGGATTTTAAGACGTTTAAGACATTCGGGATGCTTGAATGCTAACTTCAAATAATACCAAAATTGTTTGCTTTAGGGATATTTTAACAGCAATATGATTATGTTTCTGAGATAGCTCTTATCTTTTAGACACAAGTGCTAAATTCTACTTGTTGCTTGTTTATTGCAGTTCTGGGTTTGAAACATGGACCTCAGGCATGCTGAGTAAGATCTCCCTTTGAGCAAAACCACTCATTCTAGCTTAGTTCCCTGCCTTATAGGAGACCTCTGCTTCTCAATAGCACATTATCCAACATATTAATTCTCTTCCACTATTCACTTCATTCTGATGAATGAAAAGTGGGATCTCATGTGCATTTTTAATATTTCAATACAAAAAACTTCAAAGACAAAACAAAACAAATCTCTTCAAGAACATTCAGGACACACAGGAAATGTAGTATTTGCCTGCATCCTCGATCTTCCTGTAAACTTAAAGTCATCTACATATTATACATTGTATACATTGTGTCATATAGTTCCTAACTTAAAGTGCTATGTAAATAGTTATTATCTTGTAGCAGAACTACCCCCCAGCAGGGGGTGGCATTTACTCCCCACACTGAGGAAAACTAAGGAGAAAGCCCTTTACGGAAGCCATAATGAACCTCTGCCCACAGTCCCTGAATGACTTATTATTTTCTTAGACAAGGCCTCATATAGCCCAGGCTGGCCTTAAGCTCCTGGTTCTCCTGCAGGCATGTAACACCATACCTTGCCTTAAATGACATTTTGAATGGCTGATTAGGCTTTATCCACACAATGTGCTCTTAGCTGCAGAACCTTTATCTGGATAGCTCACTGGAACCTGGAAACTGAGTCTCTGGGGTTAAGGGGAAGGTGTCAGGAAGAGCTGCTTTTCATATGAGTTTTTCTTGGATTTATCCTTGCTCTCTCTCTCTCTCTCTTTCTCATTCTCTCTCTTTCTATCTCTTTCTCGCTTGGGTGTTGGGGATTAATTCTAGGGCCTCCTATATAAAAAATGCTTTTCTTTTACTGTGTTAAATTATCAAATTAGATTCATTTCAGCTTAATTTTCTTTTTAAGGTCATTAATTTGATTTATTTTAGGGGTGTAATTAGATTCTTTTTCTTTCACAAAGTCCAAGCTGGTTATCAGTGGCCAGAGTGGCTAATTGTGTCCCATTTTCTCTGCAGGCCAGCATCTCTAGGGCTGCAGAGCAGGGAGCTGAAGGAGAGGTGTGCTCCAAGAGGGAGGAGCTTCATACAGAGAATAGAGGGGCAGCTGGGTGGCCTGGGACCTGTTAGGATGGGAAGGAAGGCATCTTCTTCAAGCACAGGCCTCATTAGACCCAATCCATCCCCTGCCAGGAACAACTGATAATCACAGAATCTTAAATGGTGGCTCCAGACTATCTGGTGTTGCTAAGTGGCTGGCCCTCAGCTGTTCCCAAACAGGATGTTCCCTACACACAGGCACACACACACATACACACACACATACACACACACGCACACACACGCACGCACGCACGCACGCACACACACGCACATCCAATGGACAAGCTTCTATTAGTCCATGAGTATGATTATACAACCCTTGGGAACAGCCACTCCCAGAAATGCCATCTTTCACCTTGGGGGGGGGTCAGGCTTCTGCTTGTTTCCCCCTGTGAGTCACTATCAACATTTATTTCCCCAAAGGCAGCTACACACTTTGCCCACTCTGGCACAAAGGACAGTGTAGGGGGCAGTGAAGGCTGTGGGGTAAATTGACCATGTCTCTTATTCCAGGTATAAAGGGACAAAAGGGGGCAAGAGAGAAGTCCTAGGGATGTTAAGCGCAACACCCTGTTCTTCCTCACAGCTAGTTTGTCCCTAACATCTAGGTGGCCTGGAGTTGCCAAGGACCTGCATTCTGACTGGACCACTACCTCATCCTTTGTTAGACAGAGTGGGGATTATTGGGCTATATAGAAATCCATCTATAGTCTGTAGACTCCCTCTTTCATTTCCTCATAGGCAGGACACAGAATACACGATAAGAAAACAATGTCCCCAGCTCGTCTAGGAATCTTTTCTTGCCCAGTCTTCCCGCCAGGGTCCGGGAACCCCCTCTAGCCAGGGCAGGGAATACAGAACCAACCTCCTCAGAGCGGTCAGCCAGACTGCCTTTCCTCCAGGGCACGGTCCCTTGGGCGATGAAATCGTCCACCTTTGAGTTCTGGAATGTGGCCCCCACCAAAGTAACAGCCCTGTCCACAGCCACCATGGTCTTGAAGAGGGCTTCGAGCCTGGCACCATGCTGGGCACCCTCCTGCCGCACAGCCCTCACCAGCTCCAGGACCTCGGGCCATGCAGCCTGAGCAGTGGCTGGAGGAGGGTTGTCAGACCCTGCCAGACCCAACTCTCGGGAGGCCTCCAGCCGGTGCAGACCTTGTTCCAGGTGGTCCATGCCTCGGCACACACACTGCAGCTTCTCTGTGACATCGTCTTGGAAATGCAAGAGTCTGTCGACCTTCTCACTCAGCACACTAAGTTTTTTGTCCATGGTGACTAAGCAGACTCTGCCCAACGCTGGCAGACCCAGGGAGCCCAGACCCTCGGGATCCTCCTCTGAAACCCCTGACATCCCAATTCCGGCTTGGTAAGGACAAAGGCAAGGAAAAAGAAGCACCACAGGCCTCTTTCTCACTTGGGTGGTAAAGTCTGGAAGACCATTGTCCTGGTAGGAGCCTTGCTGCACAACACCAGCCTACCCACCCGCTGCCTGGGCTGTTTGGGGAACTGAGAGCGCCAGGTTCTCTGTGTGTCTGCTTCGCCTATCTCCCACTCAGCCTCTGCCAGAGAGTGACAGGCTGAGTTTGGCCCAGGCCCTTCTCTTGGGGCCTCTTTGACATCATGGTAACAATTAACATTCCCCCTTAAGAGGCTGCTGATGGCAGATATTTTAAGAATCTGCCAGGAGAAGGCTGGGGTTCACACAGCTGGTGCTAAAGGTTGGGAGAAAATGTAGTTAGCATACCCCACCTCCCAAAATAAAATACAGAAAAGCATGTTCTCATTAACATATAAATTCACTTTGACCTTTTAAATGATAAAATCATATGTATGCTAATGAATTGTCTTAAAATAAAGTCCTTTGTGATTTATTATTAGCAAAAAAAGAAGAAAAGAAAAGAAAAAGAAAGGAAGAAAGAAAGAAGGAAAGGAACGGAAAGGAAAGAAAAAACAATTCCCTAAGAGAGAGTATCTGTCAGCTGGACTATGCAAGGTGATTTACAGACTCCCAGACACTGAAGAGATGGTGTTCCACAGCCACACATGCATTTAATTCACAACAAAAGGCAAGAGTGAACTTCTGCCTTTTACCATCATGAAAAATTTAATGTTTCTGCAAACTAAAAGCAGACTTCTTGTTGCTATCTGCCACTTGAATGATACATGAAATGTGGATTTGTACTACCTGTGTGGAGAACCTACAGAGTTTGCCCCTACCAAACATGCACATGGGTCCCTACTTGTACCTAAAACTAGATCTGAGAAACAACTTAGCAGTGACCCCCTGGCTCCCTGTAATGATGAACACACCAGACAACCAATGGCTAAGTTTCCAGGCTCTATTGTGTCCCAGAGGACAATGAGAGCTGTGCTTCTATGGTTTTTCAAACATTTTATCTTCAAAACTTCGTAGCTTGCATGAGACTCTTACAGAAGAATCAGTGTCTGAAGTGGACACATTCAGGTCAACACTGGGAGGGACACGAAGGTGAATTTGCACCTCAGAATGCCAACGATATCACAGAGCAGTCTGACGACTCTCGTCCAGTCCATTGTGGGAAAGAACAGAGCCCAGAAAGGAAAAGGTGTCCAGGGCACACAGCCACATGAGCTCTGAAGGTGGTTTTGCCAAGACAGGGAAGTGTCCAGGGAAGGCGGTTTTAATGTCCCTCCAGGTCCCCTTTACTGAACACAAGCAGTTTTGTAAACTGACCTGGAAATTTGGCACTCACATGCACCGTCAAGCCATTTTGCTATGTTAAGCCATAGGTGGCCTTTCAGTAGTGACCTTGCTATGCTTGATCACAGCCCCTGCACTCATCCCATCCCTCTTCAGGACACCTGTTCCTCAGCATGGGCGGGTCCAAGCTCGTTCCTGGGAGCAGTCCTGAGTGTCGGTGATGAAATGAGCTCAGTAAGGTCAGAATGGGCTTGGTCTATCCTATTAGTGAGATTAAAGACAGATGCACAGAGTGGAGGTGCGGCTCAGCTGGTAGAGTATTTACCTAGCTTGCACAGAGCCCTGGACTCAATTCCTGCCAATACATCAACCAGGTAAGGTAGTGTACCAGTCTGGCAAGGATGACGATTTCCTGCAGAAACTCTCGTGTCCCTCACTTCAGCTCTCAGACCATTGAAATGATGGACGTGTGAACCACAGTCTCTGAGAAGAAACTGTGTGCAGAGGCTGATTGTTCTAAACAAGAAGGCTGGGCAAAGTTTGGAAGGTTGCAGCTTCAGGCTAAATTATGGTTTATGTTGGGTGATCTTTAGCCTACCAACAGCTATCCTTAGCCACCTGTGTCAACCCTAACATCCTGACAGATAAAAAACTTGGGAATGCATTAACTTAGCAAAACCCTCCCCTCCACAAAGGGAAGAGCTAAGAATGTTGTCTCAGGGCTGGAGAGATGGCTCTAGATGGCTCAGAAGCTTAGTTGCCAGTGCTCACAGGGTGGCTGACAACATCTGTAACTGCAGCTCCAAGTGACTTGTTACCCTCTCTGACATCTGCTGACACCACAAGTCATGTGTGATGCCATGAATCATGTGATACATGCAAACTTGCAGACAAAACATACACAGAGAAAATAAATACACCTAAAATAAAATCTTTTCAAAGAATGTTATAAGAAAAGTCCTGAGGCCTGTTGAGATTCTGCCATCTTGCTATGATGACCTCTCTGATGTTTCCACCAAATGTATTTTAAAAGTTCCTTGATTTGTGGCTTTCTTTGTTCTGCTCTCATAAAAACTCCATGAAATTATTTTCATGTTGGAACGCTGTATTTGGGAAGACCTAAAGCTATGTTCCAGGGACCATGGTCAGGTGTATCTTAGCGCTAAAGGAATCTATCTCTTGCTTCCTCTGACTTGAGAGCTGTGTTTTTTGTGTTAATCTCACATTAGAGTGCCCTTAGGAGTTGCATGGCTAAAGGAAGGAAGGCTAAAGCCAGGGCCAGCCTGAACAAAACTTCTCCCAGAGAGAGAATATTATATTTCTAGATCACCTTGAGGCAGTGTGGAGCCAGAGCATGGATCAGAGCTGTGCAGCTTTTGACCAGGACTGCTTAGATATGTATAGTTCTCACCTCTACCTAACCCTAATACTTAGGACCGTGAAGACAGACCTGGGTGGGGCTCACTGGGTCTGTTTGTCCTCTTTCCCAAAATGGCCACATTGACTAATTTCCCTTTTTCTGAGCTTTGCTTGAATTGGGTTCTTTTAATGGGCTCATTGAGGACAGGTGAATGATCCTACCTTCAGGCAGTGACCCCATCTGGTGAAATCATAAAACTATGAAGGAACCAAAAGGCACATTTGGAGGGGGGCACCATCCACAGAAAGTTGGCTTTGGATGGAGAGGAAAGGCTAGAAGGTTCTAGCAGTTGCTAGTGTCATATTATTTCAAGGGCATTTTTCTATCTTATGCCTTCAGGAGGCATCAGCTGCTTTTTCCATGGTAAGACTTTATGTCGCTTCTATTGGATTATTGCTAGATTTTGTCCTCATGATAATATGAGTGATACGTATATTTATTGAGGCCTGTTGTAGAATAATCTGTTTGTACACTGTGAAAATTTGTCTCTTGGATTAGTTTAATGAAAAGCTGAACAGCCATTAGCTAGGCAGGATTTTCAGGGCAGAGAGGACACTGGGAAGAAGGCAGAGACCTGGGAGTCACCAGCAAGATGGAGAGGAAGGCACATGGGCAGTGCAAAGTAAAGTTAAGCCACACGGCAGGAAGTAAATTTTAAAAATTGGGTGAATTTAAGTTGTAAGAGCTGGTTAGTAACAAGCCTAAGCTATGGGCCAAGCTTTCATAATTAATAAGTCTCTATATCATGACTTAGCGACTGGCAAGAGGCACAGAAAAATCCACCTACAGAGGCTGTGATATAAAATGCTTTACTTGCATGTTTGTAAAATGTCCTTGTTAACTTTCCTTCAGGGGCTGGAGATGGCTCCATGGTTCAGAGCACCTGCTACTCTTGTGAGGACCCAAGTTCAGTTCCCAGCCCCCATGTCAGGCAGCCCAAACTGCCTGGAACTCCAGTTTCAAGGGATACAATGCCCCATTACCACTTCAAATGGCAATTATAGAAGACTTAATACTACAAATAAAAATTCTGAGGATCTATATTAGCTTACTGTGTGAAATGTTTAAAAGGTCTGTTTCATTGAGTCATAAGAGGGAGACAGATTGATGGCTTACATTTAATGAATTACTAAATTATTAAAATATAACTTCATTAAGTGGTCATAAAAAATATCTAAACTTGTTTTTTTGGTAGATAAATGTAATATTTGGGGGAATCAGCCTGTATTTAAAGATAGTTTTACACGGTTTTAGTGCCTTGGTCTATTTTATTTTATTTTATTGAGACAGGGTCCCACTATGTAGCCTGGTTGGTCCCAAATTCACAGAGATCTGCCTGCCGCTGCCTCCTGGGTGCTAGGACTAAGGTCATGCACCTGGAAATAGAGCCAGAAGGGTCTGATTCTCAAGGGTCCTTTTGTTGGAGTTTGAGAACAGGGAAATGGGACAGGCTAAACATCTGGGCAGCTGAGGAAATGGGACAGACAAGATAAACATCTGGGCAGCTGAAGGAAGAAAAGAGATTAAAAGGGAGCTATAATAATAATAAATAAATAAATAAATAAAAAGATTTTTGTTTTGTTTTTTCAAGACAGGGTTTCTCTGTAGCTTTGGAGCTTGTCCTGGAACTCTCTCTATAGAATAGGGTAGCCTTGAACTCACAAAGATCTGCCTGTCTCTGCCTCCTGAGTGCTAGGAAAAAAAAGAATTTATTATTAAAAAAGACACCAGAAACTTTTGGGGTATATATATGCATACATACATAGTACACACGTGAGCACGTGCACGCACGCATGTGTGTGTGTACACATATTACCAGCATACAGTTTCAACATCAAATCCATTTAGAAGCTTGCTTTTTCTTTCGTTTTTTTTTTAAACAAAACAGTTCTTTCATTGTAGTACAGAGAATCAGTGCCCCATTCCCCATCTTTATATGAATATTTCTTCCATATGTACCTTTGTTCAAATAATTCTATTTCCTGGAACTTGTCTGTTAGGAGTCTTGGTGCTGCAGTAGACTATGCTGAGTGATCTGTACTCTAAACTTGGCTGGGTTGTATCTCAGTGGGCAGATGATCACCAACCTACCAGAGGCTCTGGGTTCCATCCCCAGCACTGAATTATAGGGCAGTGAAGGCACACAAGCCTATAATTACAGGGGAGAGGGATCAGGACTTCAAAATCATGCTTAGCCTCAGCCAGCTCTAGGCCCTCTTGGGCTCTATTAGACCCTGTCTCAGAACAAGAGAAAACCACATTGTCTATTAAAAATTGTAATGCTGCTATCTTCTCTTTTCTGCTATGACTCTGATTATTGAGCTATTATTAGGTCAGTGTGGTGGTTTGAACGAAATTGCCCCCCCCCAGACTCTGGCATTTGAATGCTTGAGGAGGG